AAAAAAAAAAAAAAAAAAAAAAAAAAAAAAAAAGCCGGGTGCGGTGGCTCATGCCTGTAATCCCAGCATTTTGGGAGGCTGAGGCAAGAGGACCATGAGGTCAGGAGTTCAAGACCAGCCTGGCCAAGATGGTGAAACGCTTTCTCTACTAAAAATATAAAAATTAGCCAGGCATGGTGGCAAGTGCCTCTAATCCCAGCTACTCGGGAGGCTGAGGCAGAGAATTGCTTGAACCCAGCAGGTGGAGGTTGCAGTGAGCTAAGATCAGACCACTGCACTCCAGCCTGGGAGACAGAGTAAGACTCTGTCTCAAAAAAAGAAAAAAAAATTTGGTAGGATGTGAGAGCAGCCTTAGGGATTGGAAGGGCTATTATGTGAAGATGAATTCATCTCACTCTAGGTGACTTGAAGAACAGGGGTTTGAGAACTGCAGGAAGGCAGCTTGTGCTCTGTAGAAGGAAGAGAGCCCTGGCAGCACCTCCCTCAGTGGAGCAAAGGCCTCAGGGTTTTTGTTGGGCTATAGGAGGGCCTTCCCAGAGCACCAGTGGTTGAACAAAGCCTGCAAGGGTCCACTCAAGGAGTCAGGAGCCGTTTCACGCCCTGTCTCAGAAGTAACCTCTCCCAAACTCCAGGCAACAACCTTTGTTCAGCAGAGAACTGACGTAGACAGAGGCAGATGGATTCTGGGCCCAGGATAAAGGCAAACAAGTTTTGGTTAGGCCATTGACATTCCTACAGGAGCGGATAGACTTTTAGAGGCAGCCAGCTAATATCAACACATTAATGCACTTGTCAGATGTATTATGAACCTACTACATCCTAGGCACTATGAGATGCCTCATCTCAGTCATCCCATTTAGTCCTAATGACCTATTGTTATTTATTCTTGTTAAGAGGATACCAAAGCTTAGAAGTTAAGCCCAATGTCATGTAAGACTGGAACAGAACTTAAGCTGTTAGCCACTCTGTCTCCTGGAGCATAGCCTTGGCCCCATGCCCCTGGCAGTCCCCAGCAGGTATGAGCTGTGGCTCCCTGAGAGCCCCTCTCCCAGTCCCCAAAGCCATGCCTCACCCTCCACTGGGAACTCAGGGAGAAAAGAGCCCAGCTGAAAAATTAGGCCATGCAGCCGAGCACACTATTTATTTTTTATGACTAAGATTAAGCTGACAACCATGCAAAATCTTGCAAACCTGTGTTGGCTGCAGATTTAATACCTCGCCCAGCCCACACAAATAATTCATGCTTCTGCATCGATGTCCAGAAAAAACAAATCAGCAAAAAGCCGGGCGTGCGTGTGTGTGTGTGTGTGTGTGTGTGTAACAGCAGCCGTGTTTCCAGTGAAGCAGCATGCCGGAAATACCCAAGCTCCAGGACTGCAGATGTAGCATTTTGCATTTTTTTTTTTCTCTTAAAAGATTAAAGTACAGTTTCAAATGATTGAAGGTTGGTGGGAGGTGTAAATGTGGGCACTTGTCACATTAATTCTTCAGATGATTAAGTTCTTTTCCATTTCTTTAAAGCTGTTTGCAGTTGGGTTTGATGTCCTGGTTCTGGGTGAGTGTGTTGTGGCAGTTACCAAGGTGACTTTAGCTGACTTTCAACAATTTATTTTTCCCTCCAGCTTGAGATGTCTCTAGCCCTGTGTGCTGTTGATTCTTCTCTGCAAGCCCCCACCCCACCTCCCATGCTATTCATCAGCATTTTTGCTGGCACCATAGAGGCTGGGATCCTCTAGCAGGCCCCACCTGGCCAAGCCAAACCTCAGAACCTTTCAGGAGAATGGTGGTGTGTCTGGAAGCAGGAACGGGTGGTCAGATATGGCACAGGGGAGTGATTATGAGAGTCACCCCCTGGTTCTTTTGCTTAAACTCGCTCTGAGCCCTTGGGCTTGTCCCCTCACCTCCATGAGCCTCAGTTACCTCATCTGTGAAAGAAGGCTTGACAACAGAGCCTACCTTGTGCTTGCTGGGAGAAATCAGCGAGTGAACTATGGTCTGAGCAGAGGGTTAGCACAGAGTAAGGGCTCAGGAAACATGGTTCAGGAAACACTGCTTCCTGAGTTCTGCTCTTGTTTGGGCCCTGAGGGCACACCCTGTCTCCACTGAGCCCTCACCTGTCGCTGGTGCTTCCTTCAGAAGGGAGGGAGGTGCAGCTGCCCTGGTGAAGGGAAAGAGATTTGGTTGGAAGTCTGAGGCTCCCATTCTGGCCCACCACAGACCTGCCCTGTGGCCTTGGATGTGTCATCCGCTCTCTTTTGTAAAGAAGAGCTAGATTAAACAACCTCAGAGTTTCCTTCCAGTCCTGAATACTGTGACCCTCTTGGCCATAGCATTTGTCTTCTTCACAGGTCTTATGCAAGGGTGAAGCCAGGGGAAAAGGCAGTTTCAGAGCTGGCTTTAGGAAACCAGAGGAAGGGACCACTTTGTGAAAGAACAGTCAGATCCGGGGGTGAGTCCCCACAAGGAGAAGACCAGCAGGCAAGGATGGCCCACGACCTTAGGGGCATGTTTAACCCACTGCTGCCACAGGGCCCTTGCTGGCCAGGGCCATCCTCTGTCTTTTGCCTGCTGATCCTACACCTTCCCCTGTGGAGTTGCCCTGCCTGTCCGGGTGCTACCCTGCCGGAGGGAGCTACCCGGCACCCAGCCCCGCAGCGTGTGAGGAGGGTGGGCCTGCCCCTCAGTGGCTGTCCAGCTGTCATCCTGGGTGGCTTCTGCCTGCCACTTGAATGATAAATAACTAGAGCTTCTCACCCAGTTTTTGATGGACACTTGGGGAATTGTTCTGAGATTCGCAGCCCAAACCAGGATCCGGCCTTTTGAATGAGATCAGTGGGTAACTCTTATTTCTGGCCGAGGCAGATTTGAGAGGTTGTCAGTGGGGGCAGCTGAATTTGAAAGAGCAAATCTTAGAATGCAAAGGGACTCCGTGGCCAAGCTGTGGGCCACACTGTTGGTGGGGAGCAGGCAGGAGGGAGTGTGGGGCAGCAGCGACAGCTCATGGTGCCAAGGCCACAGGAGGAATTTGGTACAGGCTCCTGGGGCCTTGAAGCCCAGCAGGGTGGGGGCCCGGTTCTGCTTTCCAGCCAAGCCCACTGGTCTGAATCCTAAGAGCCCAGCTTGTACTCGGCAGTGCAGATTGTATTATCGTCTGGTTAGATGAAGGGTGTGAATGTCCCTGAAGTTCCTAGCCATTGGCAGAATGTGCATCCTCAGAGCCTTCAGGGTCACCTGGACAGAAACTCTTGGAGCCATATCTCATGGTGCTCAGAGTTAGAGCTCTGAGGCTCCAGGGCAGGAGAGGAAGGGCTCCCAAAAGCTCCTGCTGATCACAGGGAAAGACCACTGTGCCATAAATTTTAATGTGGAATGTTGGGGCCAAGCGCAGTGGCCCATGCCTGTAATCCCAGCACTTTGGGAGACCAAGGCAGGTGGATCACCTGAGGTCAAGGGTTCGAAACCAGCCTGGCCAACGTGGCAAAACCCCATCTCTACCAAAAATACAAAAATTAGCCAGGCATGATGTAATCCCAGCTACTCAGGACTAAGGCAGGAGAATGGCTTGAACCTGGGAGGTGGAGGTTGCAGTGAGCTGAGATTGCACCACTGTACTACAGCCTGGGTAACAGAGCGAGACACCATCTTAAAAAAAAAAAAAAAAAAAAAAAAAATGTTGGCCAAAGATGCAGGCTTTATAGAACCAGACCTACCTGAGACCAGATCTCACCTCCACCCACTCTCTGGCTGTGCAACCTGTGCAAATTACTAAGCCTCCCTGTCCCCAGTTCCTCCTCTGTAAAAAAGGAAAGAATGGTGGCAGCTACCTCTTGGGGGCATTGTGAGGAGTAGCCAGTCAGTGAGAAGTGCTTGGTGCAGTGGCTGGCGCTTGCCAGGCATATACGAAATGGTTGCTGTCACCATCATTATCATCAGTCACCATTATTGTCTTTATTACTCAGGAGCCCAGACGGAGACTCTCATCCTGCTCCTCCCTGAGCTTTTCACCTTGTGCTGAACCGTTTCCTGTGCTTGCTTCACAGGAGCCGTAAAGACAGCCTGGAAAGTGACAGCTCCACGGCCATCATTCCCCATGAGCTCATTCGCACACGGCAGCTCGAGAGTGTACATCTGAAATTCAACCAGGAGTCCGGAGCCCTCATTCCTCTCTGCCTAAGGTGAGAGAGACAGCCCTGCCACACAGCTCAGCCTCCAGGGGACACTTCAGAACCTTCCCAGCCCCCTCCCCTAGCAGACATCCTCGAGCCTCCAGAGAGCCACCAGGCCTGTGCTTGCTGTCTCCCGGTGAGGCTGAGGTGCCTGTTGGCAGCCCACACAGCTAAGCAGGCTGGGGCTCAGGGAGGGAGAAGAGCTACTCCACTTGGGGCCTGTTTTGGAGCCCTGGGGCTGTGAACTGGCCAGTCACCCCCATGTCACTGGGCCATGCAGTGTTCTCCCTGCCGAAGCAGGGAGGGCCTAGGTGGTGAGAAGTCAACCATCCTTCCTAGAGAGGGGCTCTCTTCTCTGCATCTCCTGTCTCTAGCCCAGGGCAGCGACAGTCCCCAGTGGTCCCAGCACTGTAGCCAGAGAGCCCCACTGATCTCTGACTGCTTGCTTGACAGACTTTCCTCATTTGCAAGTTCTGGAGTCAGAATCCACAGGGAATAGGCGCTAAAGAACCCTCCTTTGTCCAGAGAAGTGTTCCTTGGCCCTCTTCCCCTGAGGAAGGCTCTGTGACCTAGGGAGTCTCAGGTGCCCCCAGTCCAGGGTAAGGGATGGCAGGGTCCCCAGAAGCACTGGTTTGTCAGGGCAGGGTTGGGTGGGTTGGGCTCTATTTTCTCCTGCTTACTGCTTTTCCCACGGAAAACACTCAGTTCTGAAACCCAGTGGCCAGCCCAGCAAACTCCTTGAGGGACCAGGAAGCCCAGCTGTGTCCCTCCTGCTTCTGTCCACAGTGCCAGAGCCCAGCCCTCTGGCCAGAACTCAGCTCTGTGCTCAGGGCGGTTGCATGGCTGCATCTGCTACAGCTGGCTCCCCCACAGCCACAGGGCTCCACCCACACTCTGAGCAGCAGAGGCTCTAAGAGTAACTCTAAACTCGCAGAACAGTGACAGGGAAGAAGACTTGCACAGTTGGGACTCTTCCCACTGTCCCCAGCACCTGGGTGTGAGTTTGAAGGGTAACCAGCCTTGGCTAGCCACCCTGGGCAGCAGACAGAGAGCAAGTGGCCAGAATGAACAGGACCTGGCGGGGCCCACCACCACCCCACAGCCACATCCTCCCCAGCCACTTATCTGGCCGCGGCCCAGGGCCTTTGGACTGGTGAAGGGTTAATTGGAGGCAGCCTGAGAAGGCAGTGGGCAGGTTCTGCTTCCTTCGCTGATGGGTGGCGCTGCCCATTGGCTGCCCCTGCTTGCCCCTCCCCCAGGTGTATTTCCAGACTAGGGATTAACAGTAACTTCTGTGACTCCCTGAGTGACCCCACATGGCTTCAGTTTGCTTGCTTGCTTTTTTTTTTAAGCTGCGCTATAGCCTTTGGGCCAGCCACTTAAATGTTATGGGAAAACCCAGAAGCAGGTGGAAGATTCTGCCCTGGTCACTGAAGTGTCCCACTGGAGAGGCACTATCCCATCATCCATCCCAGGGAAACTTGTCTAGACACTACCTCACCTCCATCCCCAATGGCGGATGTGACCTCCTCTTACATCTGGGCATGACCTTTGGCACGTTGCTACCTTTTCTCTCTGGCCTCAGTTTTCCTTAGGGAGGTGAACCCCATGACCTCTGGAGGGCTTTTGAACTCTGATCTAGAGTGTTTTCTGCTAGCTTTGAGCACTTTGAAAGGATGACCTTAGAGAACTTGTGAGGGGGGCTTCTCTTTGAAATGAACATGTTTGGATACAGTCCTCTGTTAGTGGGCAGGTGGGCAGCCAGGAGGGCATTTATCAGGCACCCTGTCCCATGGAGCATAGTCCCCACTGTCCCAGAGCCTTGGCCAGGCCTGCTGCGCTTGGAACTGTTTCCAGGCCCAGCTTCTCACTGTCTCCATGTTCCCACCCCCAGGGGCAGGCTCCTGCATGGACGGCACTTTACATATAAAAGTATCACAGGGGACATGGCCATCACGTTTGTCTCCACGGGAGTAGAAGGCGCCTTTGCCACAGAGGAGCATCCTTACGCGGCTCATGGACCCTGGTTACAAGTGAGAAGGCCCTTCTTCTACTCCCTTCCTTCCTTCCATAGGCTCTTCCTTGCCCACCCCTCCTCTTCTCCCTTGGCAACTCTTGGTGGTGCCCCTTCCGGGGGGGCTGGTCATGAATGCCTCTTGGATTCAGGGCCCGAGGCCTGTGTGTGGATGTGGAGTATAGATGCCAATGCCCACTGCAGCAGCTCCAGGAGCACTTCCTGGCCTTTTCCCCCTGTCACCTGAGGCACAAGTGTTAACTCTCCAGGCCCTGGTTATTGGTAATTCTGTTTCCCGTGGAAATCCAGGTTGGAAGGCTATAAGACTTTCTGAACCCTGGGTAAACCAAGGCACAAGAAATCAAGGGTAAAGCAAGATGGGAGGATATGTGGAGGCCAGTCTCCAGTGGCTACATGGAAATCCCACCAGAATTCAGACAGTGGCATGGGTGCCTGGACCAGGGGCTGGGCAGGCCTCAGTGGGATGAGCCTCCCTTCCCACCCTTTCTGATGACCCTCCCATTCCTCCTGAGCGTGTGTGACCAGAGACCTGCTGGCTTGTCCAGAGCACTTTGTCCTTCCTTTGCTCTTCTGGCTGTAGCAAGCTTCAGAGCTGATGCCAAGCAGGGTACTGCGGCCTCAGAGCCATAGGCCTCCTTCCAGGCCCCCCCCCGCCCCCGTCCTGGGTCTCTAATGGGTGCTCAGCCTGCTTGACCACACTCCCAAGATCTTTTTTTGGCATTTGTTTGTTAAGGGTGGAGAGAGGATTAAACACTTTACCTCACCTCACTCACAAGTATCAAGAAGGGAACCTGACCCTAAGCCTAAAGGTGGCCATACCTGGTTTGCGATGTATTGGAGAGGCATGTGGCATTACAGTAGAGGGGAAGAGAATGATGCTGGGTTTGTGAGTTTCACCCAGTCTGGGGAGTCTGTGAAGCACATGTACTCAATACAGAAACACTTTTTATCGCTGCATGTCTACAGAATTTCTCCTCCTTCAGGCCAGGCCCCTCTTCTCCCCCACCACCAAAATATTAACCCTTAATTAAAACAAACAGCAAACAAAGGACACCAACCACACTCCCCAGACTAAGCTGAGATAGAAATGGAAGCTAGTGCTTTAGGGATATTGTGTTCCATAAATTATCTTGCCTTTTTCCACTGTTGTTATTATATCGTTTCATAACAAAATTACTTTGAACCATAAAGTTATAAATACATTTTAAAAGTCCCACTTGGTAACATTAGATTTCTGTCCATGTGGTGTTGGTAGTTACTGTAACAAAAGCTCTGAAGTGTAATATTTGAAATTAGCCCAGCACAAGTGGAAAGGGCCTCCCCCCATTCCCCACCCCCAGTCATGTCCTGGGCTGCTACCCCTGCCCCTGTGGAGAACAGGGAGGGAGGAGGCCTGTCTCCTGGGCAGAGCTGCTGGGGAGGCTAAAGGTAAGGACCAGCCCCTGAGAGTTCACAGGTCATCATTCCCAAATGTCCCCAGGTAGCAAGCCGCACGCACGTGTGTGTGTGTGTGTGTGTGTGTGTGTGTGTGTGTGTGTGTGTGTGCGCGCGCGCGCGCGCGCACATGCATATGTGTGTATGTGTGTTTAGTAAAGGTTCAAGTACATTTTCCTGGGACAGTAGGGACTGGGGCCTTCCCAAACTGCAGAATACATTCAACCCAGTTAGGTTTCACTTCCTCAGCTCTGACCCTATCCTTGGAGCTCTCTCCTCCCCTCCTGGAACGTCCTCCTGCCCTGAGGGAGGTTAGTCAGTGTCTCTGATTTTCAGCAGCTCAGGAAGCTTGTCCCCCACAGGACTCAGCAGATGACACGTTGCCCCTCAGTCCACTGAAAGCCCTTTGGACCCAACCCCATTTCCCCAAGCCCCTGACCTCATAGCTGCTGGGGTTCCCACTCCCAGTGCCACAACCCCCTCACCTCCCTGGCAGCCCCTCAGTGAGCTTGAGGCTCAGCACCCGCTGGCTCCCCAGCACATGGTCCCCTCCCATGGGCTGTTGCCCAGGGAACCGGGGTGCGGTGGGAACGAGCTGCTGGCCTCGGCATGTTTCAATAAAGTTGCTGTGCTGGGAGCTGCTCAATCAAAGGCCTGTGTTATGGGCTCATTATTGTGGTCCACCACGGGGCCCGGCTCACAGGAGAGCTCCCAGGAAGGCTGGCGGAGGCCCCACTCCCCAAGCACCCACCCTTGATCACCAAGGGGTTTCTCAGGCCCTTTCCAAGGAGCCCTGGGAAACCCTCTGACCCTGCTCCCAGCCGGATTCTCAATGGTGGAGCCAACACCCACACCAGCCCTCCTCCCCCTGCCAGGCAGTCAGCACTTTCTGCCTCTGACTGCCAGCCAGCCTCCCCCGTTAGGGTCTTGCCACTGTGGTCACAGGCAGCTCCCTTGCTTGTGGGAACCTGGGCTTGTAATTACTTGTGGGCCTCTAGGTCTCGGTCTGGGGCTGGCTGTCTCCCTGGGAGTCTGCAGGACTTCCTAGAGGCCTGGGGTTAGACTTGCAGTCGCCAGTGAGGGCCACTCCACTGGGCCAAGGAGGGCCATAGGCTCCTCAGGAGGGGACCCCAGCACAGAGAGGCCTGCCTTTGCTCCCTGCAGGCATCTCTCGCTCGTGCCCCCAGGGTTCCGGGGTGTCTCCTGGGGCCTTGTGTGCCCAGGCCTGTTGGGGGCAGAGGAGTAGGAAGGAGCAGAATCCAGGAGACGCAGGACATAAAGAGACCCAGTCTTCTGTTCTCTTGACTGCTGCCAGAACTCTCCCCTTGGTCCCAGCTGAAACGGAGGGGCTGGGATGATTTTGTTACAGCAACCTTGGCACCTTGTTCTGGCCACCAGCCCAGGCTCGTTATCTCTTGGGAGAAAGCGTGGCAGAGACACCCTGCATGAGGGAAGAGTGACAAAGGAGGCCAAGAGGAAAAGGCAGAAGGTTTGGGAACCCGAGCCCCTTTCCAGAGCCTGTGGAATGGCCCCAGACAGGCCTCCACACCCACCTGCTCCACCACTTCCCCATCAGTCCAGACCCAGGAGAGTCTGGACTCCAGCATGTGGCAGAGCAGGGCCATCTGCAACCCCAGGTGGAGCACAGTGGACACTCCCTATTTCATGGAGGATCTGGAGGTGCAGGAAGCCAGCTCCAGTTCCACAGGCTTTCACTCCAGGGAATGACGCCTCGGTCTGCCCTGCCATTTGTTGTTTTCATCCTTGCTGAAACTGTAAAGTTTATCAGCCAACTCCAGAGCTATGCAGGAGGCTCTTCAGACCCTGGGAGGGGACCTGCCAAGGTCTGCTCCTGCACCTCCTTCCCCCAGCATTCCCTCATCCTAGTGGCTTTAACAAGCCTCTCTCCCTTGAGCCTGTCAACACTGGGCTGTTAGTCTTCTGAGCGGGAGCCTGGCCCAGAGCTGAGGTGTTCATCCGTCCCCAGCCAGGGTTGATCTGAAGTCTCAGCCCCAGCGGTCATATAGGGGTCACATCACCAAATATGAGAATATTGTTTTAGGCCCCGCAATGCTTTCTCAGCTGTGTGGTGTCTGACAGCTCACCCAGGTGTCTCCCCCAGTCCTGGCCATTCTCTGCCAGCCCTGATGGAAAGCCCCAGGTTTGGGAGAAGACGCCCAGCAGCTATTCCAAGTGGGCTCTGCTGCTCCAGGCCAGGATTGGGGAGCTGCTGCCGAGCTCTCCTCTGGACAAGCCCTGCCTTCTGCCATCCATTTGGATATTGCACAGAAGATGACTTGGGAATCCCCAGTCCATTCGCTGGGTATCTCCTCTTTGGTGCCTCTACTGTTCCTCCTCCTACTAGTGAACCCAGCCATACCTGTTCTCCCTGGAGACCTTTGCTTGGACTGCCCCAGAGACCTTGTCCAGGGGGATGCCCATTCAGGTTTAGAACCCAGCAATGTGGCTGGCGAAGTGCCCTTCCTTGTAGGAAAGGACTATGATGCCCCACTGTGTTCCTGGCAGCCCACAGCCAGATCAGGAGTCTGAGCCTGCTTCTAGCCACCAAAGCCAACTTTTCACCACCCACTGAGAAAAAATGAGCGATCTGTGCCCCCACTGCAGCCCGATACCTGCCGCACCACATACCTCTGCCCTTGATCTGGGTGGGGGGTGTTCTCCAAGCTGTTTTCTGGCTTTTGTCTGACCTGTGGAGGGGGTTGGGAGGGAGGGGACGCAGACAGGACTGCTTCCTTGTCCCTACCTCCTCCACTGCCATTGCGGGTGCCAGAGCAGCTCCTTGGCAGGCTCTTCCACTGTAAACAACACATTTCCTTCCTTGAGAGGAGGAAAGGGAGGGAAAAGAAAGCCAAACTTGTTGGGAAGCAAGAACAACATGTCAACATGATGAACAAACAAGGCCCTGGACAAAGTGTGGATTGTCATACCAAGGGGAAGGAGTGGGCATTGTCAGCCACTCTTTGCAGACTCAGAAATATCATTGACCGCAGACATTTGAATCGGCGTCAGATCTGCAGCAGCGGGACTCCTGCCTGCACACAGCCTGGCCTGCCCAGGGCAAGCACTGACACAAGATCACTTTTCGGGTTCCTTTCTGGAACTTTCTGGGGCCTGGGGAATTGGGAGGTTGTTGACAATCCTCCCACACCATCACCAAGCAAGCTGGTTAAGGCAGCTGGTGTGAGCCCATTAGAGTAGCTGCTGGCCTAGATTCCAAGCCCCCTCCCTGGCCAAAGGTGGGAATTAGGGGTGACCAGAGTCCATTGCTCCCCTGGCAGCTCAGCCAGTTTGATGGTGCTGGAGCTAGAGCCACCAAGTCACCCTTGTTGGTTAAGCCTGTGCCCAAACCCCCTTTTCCTGTGGGCCTGAGTATTTCCCCAGCAGCTCCACCATGATCTTGTGGGGCACCTCTTAAAAATACAAGTGCCTTGGCTTTGCCCCAGCGTATTCTGATTCAGGAGGTATGAATGGGGCCTAGCAACCCCATATTTTCAAAAGCTTCCCAGGGGAATGTGCTGCTCAGATTAGTTGGGGGGTCTTCCTCTCTAGATGGACCCCTCCCTCTGAGAGCTGTTTGTGCACAAACATAAGTGTTTTCTGCCTGGCTCTTGGTAAGTGCAAATATCAGTGAGTGCTGTTATCAATCTTTATACTGCTACTTTCTGGGCTAGAGAACTGTCAAGATGTACGTATTCACTAGGCTGGCCTTGGAATTTGCCCCACTGTCCCCACTTGGGAACCATCTCTGCGCATGGCATGCCGTCCTTTCCAGTTGGCCAGCCTGGTGGTTTAGTGCTCTCAGGTCTCTAGCCCTCTTTTTTTTTTTTTTTTTTTTTTTGGGAGACAGAGCCTCACTCTCACCCAGGCTGGAGTGCAGTGGCGCAGTCTTGGCTCACTGCAACCTCCACCTCCCAGGTTCAAGCAATTCTCCTGCCTCAGCTTCTTGAGTAGCTGGGACTACAGGCATGTGCCACCACACCCGGCTATTTTTTTTTCCAATTTTTAGTAGAGACAGGGTTTCACCATGTTAGCCAGGATGGTCTCGATCTCCTGACCTCAAGAACTGCCCTCATCAGCCTCCCAAAGGGCTGAGATTACAGGCATGAGCCACCTCGCCCAGCCTTCCAGCCTTTTTAAGTTGAGCAGGAGGCCAGGAGATTCGTGGCTGGTAGAGGTTGGGACTGCTGATTTTCCAGGTCATTGGTAAAAAACAAAGCTATGTTCACCTCCTTCATCAGCAGACAGAGAAGTCATCCCCAAATATACAGCCTTCTAGGGTTGGGGTGTCTTCCCCAGACAGGGAAAAAAGCATCCTCTATCACCATGAGGTCAGATAGCTCTTCCTCTAAAGCCCAGAGGCTTGAGCCAGGCACAGTGGTTCTCGCCTGTAATCCCAGCACTTGGGGACGCCAAGTGGGGTGGATCATTTGAAGTCAGGAGTTCGAGACCGGCCAGGCCAACATAGCAAAACCCTGTCTCTATTAAAAATGGAAAAATTGATGGAGACCATCCTGGCCAACATGGTGAAACCCTGTCTCTACTAAAAATACAAAAATTAGCCGGGCGTTTGAAACCTGCCTGTAGTCCCAGCTACTTGGGAGGCTGAGGCGGAAGAATTGCTTGAACCCGGGAGGCAGAGGTTGCAGTGTGCCGAGACTGCACCACTGTGCTCCAGCCTGGTGACAGAGCAAGACTCTGTCTCGAAAAAAAAAAAAAGAAAAATTAGGCTGGGTGCAGTGGCTTACGCCTGTAATCCCAGCACTTTGGGAGGCCAAGGCGGGTGGATCACAAAGTCAGGAGTTCGAGACCAGCCTGACCAACATGGTGAAACCCCATCTCTACTAATATTAGCCGGGCGTGGTGGCATGTGCCTATAGTCCCAGCTACTGGGGAGGCTGAGACAGTAGAATCGCTTGATCCTGGGAGGTGGAGGTTGCAGTTTGCCCAGATCTCACCATTGCACTCCAGCCTGGGCGACAGAGAGAGAGAGACTCTGACTCAAAAAAAAAAAAAAAATTAGTGAGATGTGGTAACAGTCTCCTGTAATCCCAGCTACTCAGAGGCTGAGGCAGGAGAATCACTTGAACCCAGGAGGTGGAGGTTGCAGTGAGCTGAGATTGTGCCACTGCACTCTAGCCTGGGCAACAGAGCAAGACTCCGTCTAAAAAATAAAAGTCCAGCGCCTTGTCTCCTCTGGGTTCCTACCCTTGGGCAAAGTGGGGATGATAGTCACCTCCCTAGCAGGACTGCCACAAGGATTCAACTAAATGACACTGATCAAGCTCTTAGCACAGCGCCTGGCACATGGGGGAGATACTGATTCTGCTATTGGCCATTTTTACTGTCATTTTTATCATCACCATTCCCATTATTTGTGACAGAGCCAAGCAGCTCCATAGGGACCCAGTGAGCTTCAGGAGTGCCAAGCCCCAGAACTGCCAGGCTTTTCCCACAGTTGCATCACAAGGGCGAGTCTGTTACTCAGGAGAGCTCCCAGGAGCTGCCCCATCTTAGCTGTCTATCTCCAGTGTCCTGTTGATAAGATCTGTTAACATTCTCAGCTCCAGATTTGAAATATACAAAGAACAGGGCCTGTTTGTTCAATCCAAGCTTCTAAGGCTTAACTCCCAAAGGAAATTAAATTAGGTGCCTGGAGCTATGACGGTCTGTCGTGTTTCTTTGCAGAGAATGTCACCCTTAATATCATGCAGATCTCATGTATAATTTTCCCCTTTAATTCTTTTAAAATAATGTGAAGTTGCCAGCAGGAACCAGCAAATCACCAAAAGCGAAAATGGAGGAGCAACTAGGGTTTGTCCTTGTTTTTGATCTGGCCATCCCCTCCCCAGCTGAGCCCACAGTAAGTCCACACACAGATGGTGCCACGCATAGTGGTTGCTCTACTAAAAGCCACTATAATTCACTCTCTCCCTAGCATCAGTTCCAGACCTTTGTCAGAGGAGCCAGCTTAGAATGAACTCAGCATTGGTGGCATTACGTTTCCTTGAAGAGTAACTCTGGTGTCTTAACTGGGTAGCCACAGCCCCTGTGAACCCTCGCCCCTCTTCCTGTCCTCCCTTCTACCCCGTCTCAGCCCTAGCACTTGTTACAATCCTAGATCTATATACTGATCTGGCAGAAAGCCCCTCCCTCCAAGTTATTTGGAGTTAGAAATTAGCCTGGCCCAGACTGGAGTCATTGTAATATAATTGGGTTTTAGGTATGCTTGTGTTTGTGCTAGCATTTGCAGAGATGGCAGTGAGCCCCGGAAATGCCAAAAATATGAATGGGACTTTTGTACTACTTGAGCAGACTGGTGATAACTGGTGAGGAAACTGAACTTTTGGGGAGGACACCCCTGGGATAAGAGTAGGAGGAGCAAGGGCTTGAGCTATGGGAGAGGTATGTGTAAGTCTGGAGTCTGTGGGCAGAGTCAGCTAGCCCCACTTTGGGGAATTAGAACTGTAGGGGTACACCTCCCCCAACTTTGTCAACTTTGCCTCTCCTGTTCTGTCTCTAAGCCTTGTCTCTGTCCTCAGTCAGGTCCCTAGCTCCTAGAACAGAGAGTTTGGTGAGGAGGTGTGGACTGATGGTCAGAGCTATTTTGTACCTGCTGTGGGCTTGGAGTCAGGGAAGGCTGGGTCTCTTGTCTCCTTGCCAGCCAAGGGAGGGTGCCTGTCCTGGTGGGAAATTGGTTGCCTTCATGCCTATGTCCCTGGAAAAATGAATAGAGGAGTCAGTGTCCTGGGGGTGAGAGTTCAGCATTCTGGAGCAGTACTCCAGGCACTAACTTGAGAGTCCAGACATGACCAGGATATGGTCTTAGCCACTCACAAGCCGTGTGACACTGAGCAAATTACATAACCTGCCTATGTCTCAGTTTCCTCCACTGTAAGACAGGGAGATGAGCAGTTAGCATGCCCCATTTGATGACAGCTTTCCTGCTCACTTGGGAGTAGTGTTCTTATTCCTCACTCCCTCCTCTACCCTGTCCACTTCTTGCTTGAAGACCTCCATCCTTCGAGGTCCGGAGCTGTCCTGCTTGCTCACTTCCCTTGTTATCTCACGATGTGGAAACTTTTGTTCTTGGCAGTTGACAATTCCCAGGGGAAACCTGGTGGGTATTTTTCAAGTTCTCAATTCTCCTCCTCCTCACAGGGAGGGCTTCCCCTCAGAAGAGCTCCTTGTCTGGATCTTCACCCCATCATCTTTCTTCCTTTGTGCCCTACCTGGGTGCTCAGAGTATGCACGAGGAGAAAGAGCTGTGGCCTGGGGGTACAGAAGGGTCTGCAGCCGGGGGAGGCCAGGAGGCCCTGGGGACAAGGACACAGAGAGGGAGGGGTAAAGGAAGGGGTCAAGGTTGGAAGAGGAAAGATCCTCAGCCAGGGCCTGGTGGGGTGCAGACCTCAGGTCAGTTTGGCCTGGCTTTGCATAGCAGCCTGACCAGAGGGGTGGGTGGGGAAAATGACTCATCAGATTGAGGAAGTCCTGGTTTTAGAGGCCCTGAGAGTCCCTGGACATTGTTATTGGCAGTGAAAACTTCTTTAGCTGATGAAGGTGGTAGTTGTGCTAGCCAAATAGTGGGGCAAGACTCAGCATCAAAGTGAGAGGCAATGAGGCATCAGACTAGAACAGCAGCGTGGAACTCTGGGAGGTGACCTAGAGAAGAGGAATCTCAAAGAAGCCTGGAGGAACTCAGTGGCTGATCGAGCCCAGGAGGGCAGCGGCTTGGGAGCTTCCATCCTTGGAGGACGTAGCTACTGTGAATGGGAATGGAAGTGGGGAGTCCCTTTGTCATCTGTAAAATGAGAGACATTGGTCCACAGTCTCCAGATTCTCCAGCTCAGACATTCTTGGATGTACCTTCCGGGGCATTTCCAGATTCCAGACAGGGCTTGTATTCCAAATTCAGACAGATTCCTTTTGTCCTGCCACGGTGTGGGGCAGAGGCGGACATGCAAGCCTGACGGCAGCAGCTTCCCCGCCCTTGGCCCTGCTCTTCCCTGTGATTGCACCGCACTGTGCAGGAGGCCTGGGCAACTACAACAGGGGCTTTTCCCCCCCACCAATATATTCTTAATTGAATGTTTTTTCCTTTTTATTTTTCTTTTTTTGTTCCTTTTTTTTCCTGATGTAACCTTTTTACCAGCCCCACCAGTGTTCATCTCCCTTCTGGCAGCAGCATTCCCAGACCTCCCAATGTTCTCCCTCCCCTCCCCATTGTCCGCTGACCCCTTTCCTTCTCCGTCCCTGTCAGATATTGTAGGGAGGTGGGGGGAATGGGGGGGAATGACAGTTGGGGACAGGCCTCAAACACTTCCCTCTGTCCCTTGAACAAATCACAGTGAGCTCATCTATCCTTCATGGTCAGAAGAGAGGTCTAAAAAGCTTGGTGCTTGGCAAAAGATCATATATTTAAAAAATAATAATAATAATAATAAAAGCCTGCCTTGTACCTTCACAGATTCTGTTGACCGAAGAGTTTGTAGAGAAAATGTTGGAGGATTTAGAAGATTTGACTTCTCCAGAGGAAGTAAGCTTGTTTGACTTTACCTGACAGCAGGTCCCATCTCTGGGACCATGTGTGTGCATACATGTGTGTGCGTGTATACATGTGTGTGCACGTGTGCTTGCATGTATTTGTGTGGCTACATCTGTGGGCTCCTCTCCAAGATGCAGGGATAGGCTGGAGAAGAGACTGTAGATTTCTCTTCTATTTCTGTGCACCCCCACCATTCCCTGCTCTACCCCCAGCCCTTGTAAGGATACCCAGCAAATTGTCCAAATTGCCAGCTCCTAAGAACCTCACTGAAGAGGATGCCAGGGCCTTCAGGCTAGTTCAAGTTCTCCCCAGCCCCTGCTGTTCCCTGGCAGGTTCTGAACAGAAAGCCCATGTCTGTTGCCAGAGAACATTCCACTGGGGAGTTCTGGTGGGCAGCAGGGGACTCCTGCCCTCGCCTTGGGCCACCCAGGAGCCACTCTCCCTTCTTCCTTCTCCAGCCATGAGCTGTCCCCTTTTAGTCCCCCTCTTCCAGCCCTGGCTTAGAGCCGGAGGAGCTGGCAGGCCAGCTGTGGTTGTGCCTTCTCCAGCTACTCCTCTGGGGTAGAGGAATGGAGTCCATAATCCCCTTTGTTTTTTCTCCCTTGTTCCCAGCATCCTCATTTACAGGGACTTACCTCATCCTGGAAAGTCCCTTACCCTCCCCCTGCTTCTGCTCCTAGCACCCCAGCAGGATGGGAGCCTTTCTGGCCTCAGGGCCCCATGGGTTAGTGAACATTAGCAGACTGGCCGGGCCTCTGGAGAGCCCTCCTGGGCCCTGACCTGCCTGTGGCAGAGACAGACCCTTCCCTTGCCCTGTCTGCCAGGAAATGTGCTTGGGGGAGAACTCCTCTGCCTCCCAGAGGCCAGGCTTTCTAGCCAGAGGGAGGCCAAGCAGGAGCTAGGTTCCAGCCAGGGCTGGAGCTTCCAGCTGCCAGGGCTCCCCAGGCTGCACCAGCCAGGACACAGAGGACTCTGACGTTCAGGAAGCTGAGGGGAGTGCACAGCGTGGGACCGTCCAGGCCAGGTCTTCAGGTGGACAGGAACTCCCCAGAGCCAGGGGTCACCAGAGCAGAGCAGAGCAGTGTCTCTTCTGTCCTCTGGGATGCAGCTTGAGAAATTGGTTCATTTATACATTCCAAAGTCATCAAGCACCCAGTCCGTGCCAGCCAATCAACCCCCACAAGTCACTGGTCCCTGAGTCCCAGCTCCCCATTCAGTCAGACCAGAGCCAGCTGCCCAGAAGCGCTTCCGGAGAGGCCTTGTCGCACTGGGATGGCACTGTGCCAGGCTGCTGCTTTGAGCTTGGGTGTTGAGGGGGTAGGAGGGGAACAGTCCAGGCAAGAGGGATAGAAGCCAGGGGGAGCAGAGGAAAGTAGGTCACTGAAAATGACTTTTTTCTTTTTTACCTTTTCTGTCCAGAGGCTGTCCCCACACCCTGTCCCACTCGCCACTTTGGTCCTGGCAGAGATAGTCCCCCAGCAGAGAAAGGGAAGAGGGAGGTAGCCACGAAGGGTCAGGCTTGTCTGCCTCCAGCCCTAGCCCCAGGCAGGTCAAAAGCACTGCTCTCTCCTTTCCACCCTGCCCTGACTTCCAGTCTAGCCAACTTAGGAAAGACAGACCCTGTGTCTAAGTTCCAGCATCAGTCCCAGGCAGTGAGCATTTATTGAGCACCAGCTGTGTGCCAGACTGCATCCAAAGTCCTACTGTAAAGAGGGTATCCCTTCCCCAACCAGAGGCTCCCACGTGAACAGCAGAAACAGAACTGTAGGCCAGTCAGTGATTCCTGGGGCAGGGTGGGAGACGTGGCTCACCTTGCCCACTGCTGGTCCCACTGCTGGGACCACTCTGAGGCTGGTAACCCTGGGAAGCGGTGTGAATGAACATGAGGAACAGGGTGGGGACTGGCCCCTCTTGAGGCTCCACCAGGCCCAAGGGATCACCTCAAGCCCACTCTTCTGTACCCACCAAGGCTGCAAGTGTGGTCCTGACTTTGGGGCCGAACTAGGGCCTCTTTCCCTTTAGAGCCTTTGGCCAAGGTTACAAAGAACAGGTTCCAGGGTTCTTCCTGCACTGGCCTCTGAAAGAGAGGCCATGGCAATGACAGAGCTCAGGTCACTTCCCCACAGCCTCCAGACCCTCCCCCAGCCCCCATCTTCCAGCCCTAGGGCCTCAGGGAGCAGATTCCTTACATGCCTGTGGCCAGAGGCAGAATGACGGAAGTGAGCAAGAGGGAGGTCAGCTTAGTGGAAAAAGGAGGAGAAAATGCCCTCCTCCAACCTGGCTAATTATTGGCAGGCCATGGGGAAAGAAGAGGTCACCCACTGCAGCCATTTGAGTCAGCCTCCCACCTGGGTCCAGCATTTGAGAATGAAGCCAGGCATCCCACGGCCCATCCTGGCTCCCCGGACAGGCCTGGGCAGTCTGGAAAGAGCACGGTGGATTCCGCTAATCACTCGCACTCCTGGTCTGTGCTTGCTCCCTCCACAGTTCAAACTTCCCAAAGAGTACAGCTGGCCTGAAAAGAAGCTGAAGGTCTCCATCCTGCCTGACGTGGTATTTGACAGTCCGCTACACTAGCCTGGGCTGGGCCCTGCAGGGGCCAGCAGGGAGCTCAGCTGCTCCCCAGTGACTTCCAGTTAACAGTTGTGTCCACGAGATCCCCACAAATAAAAGGACAAGTGTGAGGAAGACTGCGCAGCACCACCCCATAGCCCAGTGGGGTGCAATGCACAGGCCACGGGCCCTCATCTCACCTCCAGTTCAGGGGCTGCACCCCCTCACCCCCCATGGCTAAGCCCTGCAACCCATCAGGCCAGTAAGCGGGCAAATGCAGACCCTCCCTGACTGCTGCCTAAACAGATTCTGGTTTGAGGTTTGACTCTGGACCCTGGCCGTGCCCCTAGGTGGAGACAGGCCTCATTCTCACCTACCCCCTGCCGCACAGCAGGAGGTGGGCAGAAGGCCCAGGTGCAGAGCAGAGCATGTGGATGCACCGCCCAGCTCAGCTCTGGAAGCCTTTGCTACTCAAGCTCCTCTGGCCATGGAACAATTCCTCTGATCGCGTTTGGTTTTCTTCTTCCTTATTTTATTTTGCAGAAACCGGATGGTATTTTATTGCTCTGCAAAGATGTCCAGAAGCCATGTATATAATGTTTTTTAAACAGAACTTTATTCCCCGTTGAACTTTCCCATTCTCTGACAGAGGCCTAGGGCTGTATCTCTCCCCGGACTGCCACCAGAGAAGGTGCTTGGTGTTCGCCTGCCAGCCCCAGAGCCCTGGAGGAGCCCGCTGCAAAGACAGGCTTTTCTCCTCAGCTGGGCCTGGCAGAGCCTGGGGCAGGGGGAGAGTGGAGACACCAACTTGTGCAGCTTTGAGCCTAGTTTAGCTGGGGCCAGGGAGGGGTGCTACTGTTTTCCAAGTGAATGGGTCTCAAAGACTTGGTGACCCCAGCCTCATCTTCTAGGCCTTTTCCACCCAACCAGGCCTGCCAGGGAGAGGATGAGGTTCAGCATGTCACATACCATCCCCACTGCCACTCAGGGCTTGGGTCTCCAGCTCTGTAACCAGTCCTGTCTCATTTCCCCAGTCCCTGGGCCTACCAGTCTCAGGCTGTAGGACTGGCTTACTAAAACTGAAAACTCTGCCTCTCAACATCTCTTTCACTTTGGTTTTGCTAACACTGCTCTCTGCTGCCCTCCCATCCTCCCTGTATCCATCCATGCCCTGCCCTGTCTTTCATTCTCCACTCCTCATCCCGTCTCCTTTCCGGCATCCTGGCCTCTCATGGTCCTCAGCCCCTCACCCCCAGTGCTGCAGATCTCAGAGTCTGCCTTCCGGAAGCCAGCCTATCTCTACCCCATGGATTTGGAGTTCCTCTTGGCTTATCTCCCACTCCTGACCTGGAACTAGCAAGCCCCTTCCCACCTTCTAACCCCCAAATCTAGGGACTGCTGTAATACTTCAGGATCACTTTCCACCTCTTCAAAGCAAATAATGACTATGCAGGGCTCCTCATGGCTCCCATCTGTCTCTGCTACACACACGGGCACCACCAGGGATGCCGCAGGAGCGCCCACAGGGTGCAGGACTCTGCTGATGAGAGATTCAGCCAAAGAGCTGCCCCCAGGGGTATGAGGGCACCAGCTGGGTTCTACAGGGACAGGAGTTGGACCTCCCTGGAGCCACTAGGCCTGGCCTTCTCTGCACATCCTCAGGGCTATCCAGTTAACTCCATCAAGCTCAGAGCTACAAGGTACATCAGCCTGGAGTATTTGGGAGAGACTGGCTCCAGGTCCCCACCAGCCAAGATGCAAGCCACTCGGAACCTCATGTCGGCAGCTATGCCTCTAGTGCCCTGAGGACCTTCCAGAGGGAGCCCTACTGACCTTCACCCACCACAGCAGCCCTTCCTCTGAAGCTCTTGTCTTCTGACATTTCACAGGCAGAGAGGTGCCATCAGTTTGCCTCCATTCCTTGCCACCCTGACCAGCCTCTCCCTGTACTCTCTCTTGCTGGAGACTGGCCTGAGGGTCCCCCGCTGCAGTTCGCCCTGCTTCCATCTGTGGTTGGGTGGGGAGGGGCATTTTCTGAGCTAAGCTTTGTCATCAGCTTGTGAAGCACCTGGTCAGCAACTTGCCCCAGGCCTGGAGGGCATTTGCAGACTGAAGGTAGGCACCAGCCAGCATGTGGCCCTGTTCTGGGGGAGCAGGGAAAGGAGGAAGTGGGTGAGCTCTGAGATGACGAGCACATGAAGCCTGTGGTCCCTTGGTACCCATGCTATGTCAGGAGCCTCATGCGCTTCCAAGATCCTGCAGGGGCCAGGCTTCATCTCACTGGCTCTGGGGACTGGGCAGGGCATCACGCATCTCTGACCAGGCCTCCTTTCCCATGGGCATTGGTGCCTGCCAGAGGTGTCTCAGGCTGCTGGCTTGGTGACAGAGGACCCTCAAAGATCAAGCCAGGCTGACCTTGGACCCTGCCCAGCACAGCTTCTGGCACAGGATGCTAGGTGAATGTACCCTATCTTTCCCTCCCTGCAGCTCTGTGAGAGCCTCTGACCTTGTGGTGGGTGGAAGAGGTAAGGGGCCTCCCTCCCTAAATCTGCCTCTTCTGCAAGCTACTTGGAGATTTGCCTAGTCCTACCCAGCCCTCCAGGTCCCTGGTGCTTAGCTTCTGAGAAGGGCCTTTCCCTTGCTGTTTCCTGCTGTATAAGGCAGGCTCCTGTGGCTCCGCTGGCCCAGAGTGGGCTGCAGGAGGACCGCAGACCCAGCTGCCATTCTGAGAGGATTTAGGGAGGCTTGTGCGAGGTCTCAGGCCTGGCTAGGGAGCTCAAGCCTCTTCCTGCCCTTATCTTCCACTTCCAAGGGCACTGCTCCAAGGCAGGGACTGGGGAAGCCGAAGGGAGAGTCTAAAAGGGCTAGAGCATATTTAAAAATAGATACAGGGTCTTGGGACTGGGGTTTCGGATTGAGTTGCAAGCAGGGAGAAAACCTGAAGGTCGGTGCCCCTATGGGGCAGACCAGTAGAGAATTTCCTTTACTGTATTTTTTTATCCGGTCTTCCCTCTCTGGCTTCTAGGATGTCCACGCCAGATGAGGTACCTGGGTCCCTGTTACAAGTCAGGAGCCCTGTAGAGAGACCCCCCTTTTGTACAAGTACCTGAATGCTGCAACGAGCAGATTTTTGTAAATTTTATATTAGTTTTTAACGTCAGTGGCGACTCGGTTCCTGGGGCTGCAGCCAGCCTGGGACTTTTGTAAGAATTTTTGGGTGACTCACTTAGATGTTTCCTTCTTGCCCCCTCTTCCTCTGTGTAATCTAAGTGCATTAAACATCTTTGCAGAAGTGCCTGGGTTGTGTGCTCATTTCTGGCTGCCTGGAGTAGCGGGAGCAGGAAGCCTGGGGCCCTGGCACAGGGAGTGGGTTGGAGGCCCCCTGGCATTGTGTCAGGAGTAGAGGAGGTGCCAGGGAGTGGGATCACACAGCTGGTGGCTCTTCAGTCATGCAGAAATGACTTTCCAGGGACAGGCTCTCCCTCACTGGTCCTGAATTCCTCTAAGGTCAAGGGGGTAGGATTGAGGAGCAGTCTGGGGAGATGAGTGGGTGGGTGAAGACCCTCTCTGCTACTTCATCCCTCTTCTACCCTCCTCTCACCAAAAACCCCTTTCACCTTAGGAAGAGGGGCCCTCCTCATCTTCTTTGGAGTCCTTGCTCCAGCTTCCTCTCACATGACATCTAAATTCCGCTTCCTAATCCAGGGCTCGGGGGCAGGATCCAGATAGAAGGGCCATTCAGAAGCAGCCCACCAGCCCTAGCAACTTGACTGGGCTGGGAGCGGAGGGAGGTAATGGGTATATCTTCCTTCCAGCCCAGCTCCTACCTCTCCATGGCCGGGAGGCAGCAAAACAGCCCAATGCCCAGTGCGGGGAGGCACTGAGCTGGGGGAGAAGGCACTAGCCTGGCAGGCAGGATGAGGGCTGCACCCAGAAAGAGTTTTTGGAACCTGTGATCACCCGGGCCTTCACAATTCATTCCCTTCTGGTTTTCTGTCCTGGGGAGTGGCAGGGGATTCTGCTGGGGCTGGAGCAGAGGTCCTAGGACATCATAAGCAACAGAGAGGGGGTGTCAGCTCCTATGAGGGGGCTTTTACCTCCTGTCCCTTCTGTGAGACCTAGCCATGTGGGGGGCCTTTGCTGAGGGGTCCACACTCCTTCCCCTGCAGCCTCACTAAACTCTCGAACTGAGCAGTGCAGCAGGTCTTGTCTGGGGTCCTCAGTCCCTCTGGTGGTCAGAACAAGGAGGTGGGGAGGGTAGGAAGTCAGACTGACAACCCCAGGTGGACCTAGGCCACGCTGTCCCCTTTTCTCCGTGGAGACTGGGGATTGGAGGAAGTATCCTCCTCCTCATCTGACTTTAGCCTACAGGGACTCAGGGTCCGGGTGAAGTTCTTGCCCCAGAGAATGCAGAATAGCAAGATCCTCTGTTTAGGTGGTTCTGCGAGACAACACCAGGCTGAGGCTGTTTCTGGAAAGAGAAGTGCTCCTGGGCCTACAGCAGAGACCCCAGCCCTAGAATTGGGGAGGAGAGAGATCTACCATGCCATCATCTGTAATGTCTCCTCCAGAAAGTCCTGTGGGCTTTCCTCCCAGGCGCCTGCTTTGCCCCATCTGGGTATGCTGGGGGCCTTGGGGAGGGAGTCACACAGGCTTCAGGGGGGCTGGGGAGCCTGAGAGATTTGCCAAACTGGCCTGACCAGAAGAAGAATGCAAGCTACAAGTGACTCAACCCAGCCTGCCAGGCACTGAGGCTGAGGCAGGCTTCAAGGGAGTAGATGGTGGGGAGGCCAGGGTGGGGTGATTTGCTGGGCAGGGGAACGGGTAAGCCAGCCTGCAGGGGCAGGTCTGGATGTGGCCTGAGAAGGGCAGACATCTCCAGGTCCCCTCCACAGTGCATGGTGGGACTGACCCATCCCCTCCTTTCCTCCTTATTGCCAGGAAGTCTGGGAGAGAGCTGAGGGCAGCTTGGGGAAGGAGCAGCTGACTGCTGGTGGGTGTCCATGGCTTGAATGGCATGGCTCTCCAAGCAACCTGCAGGGCGAGGGAGACTTTGAGGGGGCTATGATGAAAGTAGCGGTCTTATTGGGGCCAGAGAACTGAGGACAGAGGCCCTGTTCCTTGTTTTTCCAATCTCACCTACCCAACCCCACACCCCATCTCAGTACCAGGAGAGCCCTGGAAGGATACAGAATGGAGCTTTTGGGTCTCAACCTTTACAAGACAGAGGAAGGCCAACCATGCATTGTCGAGCCTCTACAATAACACTGTGGGAACCAACTAGAAAACGTTCCATTGTTCTTTCAACAAGTGTGTGCAGGCACTCTGTTGCATACTGGGACGCTGGACACAGGCCCTGCCTTAAGAGGCTCAAAGTGCAGTGAGAGGAAGTAGACAAGGAAACAGATACTTACGAGGAAGAACCATGAAAGAGGAAGGCAGTAAGCTGCTTCCTGTCCTACCCCAGCTCTACCACTTATAAGGGTGACTTCAGACAGGTGCCTAACCCAATTTGGGGAGATTAAAAAAGGCTCCCTGAAGAAGTAACATCTAAGCTACAACCTAAAGGATGCTTAAGGATGAGTTGAGTAGAACAAGAGGAAGCTTTACTTTCATAAGCTCTCCAGGCAGTCAGAACAACAAGGGTAGAAACCTTAAAACTCTGCTTGGGAACTAGAGTGCAAATTGCCTGCAATATATGGTTTAAGGCATCAAGCTTTCATTTTAGGACCATCTCCTTGACTGCTGGATGGAAAATGTTTTGAAAGGGAGGAAGAATGAAGGCTAGGTGACCAGTGATGCCTTCATCAGGGTAGAAGCAGTAGGGACAGAGAGAATGGGATCCATTTATTGATTCAACAAATATTTATTGGGCATCTACTGTGTGCTAGGTCCCATTCTAGGCACCAGAGATACAGCATTAAAGAAAATACCTCCTGGGCCGGGCGCGGTGGCTCAAGCCTGTAATCCCAGCACTTTGGGAGGCCGAGGCGGGTGGATCATGAGGTCAAGAGATCGAGACCATCCTGGTCAACACGGTGAAACCCCGTCTCTACTAAAAATACAAAAAAATTAGCTGGGCATGGTGATGCGTG